ATCACCGTTGATCTACGCTCACTACGAACGACAAAGGTTAGCTAAGGAAGTTTCACGACCTGCCCCTCCCACCTGGACTTTGGTCCCTCTCTCAGACAGGCAGCTCTGCCCTCGTAGATAAGTTCGGTCTTTCAAGGAGGGGGGGCTGTGGCATACTGCGCGGCCACACGGGCCTGCAGTGCCCAAGCAGACGGAAAATCAGGGCCCTACAGCCCCTGTGTCGTTTCACCCTGAAAGCCTGAAAACGAGGGCCATTTGCAGGCCCTCATAAAGGCGACCTGCCCTAAAACTCCTGCCCCAGACCAGGGTTCAGCACAGACCATTTTTGGGCCTGTTTCAAGACAACCTTTGTTTGAACCTCGACGCCAGGGTGTGGCACGTTTCGGCATTTGCAAGAGCAGCCTCCCGGACGGGCCAGCACTAGGCCCGCCTGCAGGCTAGAGGGAGCTCATAGGGACTTCCGAGGCAGTTCACGGGCACTTCACGCGCAGGAGGCAGGAGGCAGTCTTCAGGATTTGGCAGCAGCACTCTGGAGGAGCGCTGCAGTAGTAGTAGTAGTGTTAGGAGTAGTCCAGTGCTGGGCGCTAGTAGGAGCTAGAGAAGCGTTGGAGAGAGAGAGAGAGAGAGTTGGCGGAGGCCAGGGAGACTTACCTGTGGCGCCATACCTCCAGCTTCAACTTCGATGTACCTGCAACAAGGCACCACCTTCACAGGTTAGTACTGGACTACGAGAGAGAGAGAGAGTTCTTCTTCTTCCTCCATCTCTCCCTCACCCTCTCGCCACCTGACTTCTCAGTATCTGCAGACTACGACATTTGGATTCAGACTCGGCATTGGGATTGAGACATTGGACGAGGGATTATTTGACCTGTAACGAAGACTTGGTGTGGACGACATTCCCGTCTTCCCCTCTTCTTCGTCTAATCCCCCTCCTCCTTGTCTGTGTATGTGTGGGACTGGCGCCTTCTTCCTGTGTGAGCCCCAGGTCCTTTCAGACCATGCAATGATGATGATGTATGTTTGATCCGCATTGCGACATTGATTGGTCGGATCATTGGTATATTAGCCTTCCCTTGCGCTATCTTGTACTATGTGAGAGAGGTCGGTTCTTGTTCTGGTCTGCACCTACACGGTATGCGACACTTATGTCACACTAATTAGAACCAAGTAGAAGAGCGGGCATCAATACAACAGTCTCTGACAACCAGAATACCAAAGCCGATTACAGTATACCAGTCCAATGACAATCAGAAGCAAGTGGAATACCAAAGCCAATAGCACAACAATCAGGAACAAACAAAACAGTGAAGTCTCTTGACAAAGAATGCCGCACTTTTTGCCTCTGATCATCAACACAACAACAATGTCACAGCCCTAATGTGATGTGACTGCTCTACTCTACGGCCTACCTCCTCTACTCATGCTAGCATACGAGACCCTCACTATCTGTCCATGCGTCGCTCTTGTGGACTCTGCTGACACAGGCTTCTGCCAACGCCAGGACAGAACCGCTAGTCCCCACTGCCTTCTCTTCCTGTCGACATTCCGTCACCCTGCTGCCCTGCAATCAGTTGGCAGCTATGGCTGGTGCCATCCACTGCAGCTGCCTCTTTCTCCTTGGGTGGTCCTCCTTAACGCTGTGTGGTGCTGCTGCTGCTGCTCTCAGAATGTGATGTACATGGTGGCCTTCCTCCTTTTGTCAACACGATACTTGGTCTCAGGGGTGCGCTCTGCACTGAGTTCTTGCTCCTCTTTCTGTCTCGGCCTTTGGATTTTGTAGTGGGCGGCCTCGATCGCCATGGAGCTCAATTTCTAATGGAATGTGGCCCACTTAGAATGTCGACACCTAACCGTCTATTTGCCTCTCCTTATTCCGCGGCGATCTGGACAATGACAATTGTTCTTTGAAAAGACACAAAAAAAGAGGCACAAAAGAAAGTGCAGCAGGTGTAAGTATCTGGGCGATTATGTGCAAAAAGGGGCAAAAAATAAGAGCAGAAAACATCACAGTGTGTGCGAGTACCGAGAATGACCTCTGCACTTGGCGGTCTTGCTGTGAGCAGGGTGCCACATGCAGACAGCAGAGGCCCACTTCTGACACTGCCTTAACGCAAAACGTGCGCAAAATGTAGCTGTCGATATAAGTACGGCCACCAACGGGTCTAGCTCCAGATTTTCTGTGGACGTGCATCCAGGTGTGAATGGTAGAAAGAAATATGGCCACTTACGTGCATTCATTCGTGAACTGTAGAAAGAAATTCGGACACCTACGGGCCTTGCTGCAATTCTCTGTGGAAGTGTTTGTGGCTAGGTGCATCCAGGCTCTGTAAAAGTTGACAGATACATCCAGGAAAGACCTTTCAACGCTGATTTTGTCCATTTTCCTGGGAAATCTGACAATGATATCTCAATTGTTACAATCCTGGCCACTTGGGAAGTGCAGGTTCACAAGGAAACCCAATTGCAATGAGAGCACTTGCATGAGATAGAGACCAAAGAAGTACGAAGACGAAAGAACGAAGAAGGAGAGGAAGATGTACACCTGCAAGACCAATGACAAATCCCCACTTCTCACTCCACTCTCCTCGTCGGCTCCACCAATCTTATTCCTCTCCGGATAACAAATAATAACAACGAGTGGTTGAACCAGAATCAATATCCAAAGTTCCCTCTTACTGCCAGCATGACAAGAGGTCCACCATAGCCAGGGCTTGCCTCTTCTTCTTCCTCACACAAGCCTAAGCTATGGCGGACTACTAAGCGCTCTGCACTCCTGTGCAAGAGACAATGCAAAGCACCAATGGCTGCTGCTCCTCAGGCTGCCATGCTTGACTCTGCCTCAAAGCTTCTTCGTGCGGGCAATACCTCAACTGGGGCCTTCCAGATGCAGCGCCTAATAAGGGGATGAAGATGGTGTCCACCATAGCCACGTAGGTACCTCGGCACTCTCCTCCTTCGCTCCTCACCTCCTCCTCAAGCTGGGCTGCTCGCCATAGCCAGGCTGAGCGCCCAGCTCTCCTCCTTCCTCCCAGACAGTGCTCCGAGAACCAGCGTCCACTCGAGCAGCATGACGCCCAAACTTGCATACTGCAAATGAGGTAGAGCCCAGAGCTCTACCTGGAGATATTGCGGCCTACTTGTCTCTTGGGTGGTGACTTCCAGGCTGCGCGGCCTCCAAGCAACCGGTACCTCCTAACTTTCGGAGGGAAACCTGGGCTGGTCCCCTGTTTGACCGGGGGCTCCCACCCCGACCGGGCGGTCGACCGGCCCGAAAGGCCCCCTGTCCAATCCAGTGCATTATGCTGGATGAGGGGTACCTGGGAGTCACGGGCTTCCCTGCGGTTGCCCAGCCCCCAGGAGGTCGCTGCCTCTTGGAAGGAAAAGAAAATCGGGAAATTTAGGACCCCCCTTCTTGAAAAAAACAGGCAGAAGATCCCCCACCTCTGAGCTTTGCAGATCTGCATCAGAAAAATGCCATGCAATTTTGTTAAGCCGCAGGGTTCAACATGCCCCATTTTACAATTTGGTGTGTGTGATCCAATGGACCACAGAGCACATCTTTGGAAAGACCTGGTAGTCATCCACCCTTAACCACCAGGAAAATATGCTGTTGTAGTGGCTCCTCTGAGATTATATGCTTCTGCGACGTCTCTGCTCTCGGGGCCAAAAGTTATGGGTTTGGGTTTGAAGAGAGAGTAGCCATGCTGTCCGAGGTGCAAGCTCAAGAATGGACCTAAGCTATATTCATCTGGCAATGCATCTAGAATGGACCTCAGCTCCACTACATGTATCTGGACAGACTGGCAGGCAAGATGTGTGTGTGTGTGTGCGTGTGCGTGTGCGTGTGTGTGTGCGTGTGTGTGTGTGTGTGTGTGTGCGTGTGTGTGCGTGTGTGTGTGCGTGTGTGTGTGTGTGTGTGCCCACACATGCATGCCCGTTTCTTGTTTGTTATGTCTGCTGGTTGGGAATTCGTTTGGTTTGTGCTTCACTGCTGATCACTCATTGACTGAAGTACTTGACAGTGAACGGTGAAGTTAAACTGAATTTTCATAGCATCCTTGCGTTTATTGGACTCTAAGATCTTTCTGTCTGTCTTATCCATCTGCTAATCTTACTTTCTGTCTGTCTTATCCACTTTCTGTCTGTCTTATCCATCTGCTAATCTTACCACTTCTATTGGCTGAAGTACTTGGCAGTGAACAGTGAAGTTAAATGAGTTTTCATAGCATCCTTGCGTTTATTGGACTCAAAGATCTTTGCGGCGATATTTTTAACCCGTTCCTTACTTTTGCTGGCATGTTGCAGATATTTCGAGGGTAGCAGGTGTGGCAGAAGTGACCATCAGAAATTCATACAAAGATCTTTACCCACATGCGTCCAAGCTGGTTCCGGATTGGTTTGTCCCTGAGGCGGAGTTGAAGAATCTTGCCAGCCTTTGAAGTTTGAACTTTGAATAAATAATCTGAGAGTTTGTGGGCACCGTTTCCAGAAAATTGCATTCCCGTTCGTTCACGACAAAGTAAGCATGGTGACCATGATTCTGCCGTTTAGTTTCGAAGAAGACGAGAACAGAGGGCAGCCGGGGGGTGGTGTTTAGTAGAAGGTAGTTTGAGTAGAGATGCAAGGTACAGTGTGCAGGACCAGGTGTCGAATACTTTAGTAGAGAACTTTGACTAGGGAGGATGGGTAGAGTGGCAGGATCTGGAAGGACTTGTAAGGTGCGGGGAGGATGTAGTGGAGGACCAGAATACTTACTAATGGGACAAGGAAAATGGAAGACTTAGCGGAGGAAGAGATCTGGTGGGACAAGGATGGATGGAAGGTTGCGGAGGACTTGACGGAAGCACAGCTTTGATGCAAGAGGACTGTAAGAGTGGGCGGGAACGAGAAGGACTTGCGGGGTCGAGGTCTTTTGCAGTGGGAAGTTGGGAGGGTTGAGTGAAGGGAGAAATCTAGTGGGGTTAAGGAAACAGAGGATTTAGTGGACAAAAAAATGTGGTCGGATAAGGATGACGGATGGTGGTTGAGGGCGTGGAAGAGGACAACTGTATGAGGTTCGGCAGTGGAATACCAGGCATTTGCCAGTTGCTTGTATTTTCTCGCTGATTGATTGGGCGATTGCCAATTGGAAGTAAATATTGAGAGCGATGGACAGTAGGTAGATGTGGTCTGCATATCCATAGGTTCGCTCGTATGTGGCCTGGGTGATATTGCGTGGGTGCGTATTTTTACCATCTGCAGGATATGCATAGCCATAGGGTAAATATAGGTTACGCAGGGGTCCACCCTATCATCAATCTGTCCATCGGTTCATCTGTCGGTTGGTCTATAGGTCCACTTGCGGCTCCATTGGTCCCACCCCTATACCTCCATCAGTCGGTTCACACCTACCATCCACTCATTCATCCATCCTGTCGATAGAATATGATAAGGCCTGTAGGAAAGAAATCCTGAGTCAACCTGTCTGAGGAGGGTAGGCAGGGCGCTTTGTTTTGATTGTGTACCATTGCTCGACATGAATGCTATTTCCGCAATGTGTATGATGTTGAGGAGGGCTTGCGTCAGTCCCCTCTTTCCCGGTACAGTGGGTCAAATCATTCTCAAACAAACGTACATCAACGTTGCTGCTTTTTTCTTCTGTTTTTGGTTCTTCCCTCCGCTAATTCATTGACAGTCGTTGAGATGTAATTATTTTGTTCAAAGTGTAGAGTGATTGCCTCAAGTATGTGTTTTGCTTGCCTGTCTGGCTATTGGCAGTCTTCGCGTGCTGCTGCTGCTGGTGCCTGCTATGATGTGAAATGCACCAATAGAACTTGCAGTCTCACCTTGCTTGGCTGTTGAAAATCTACGTGTAGAGTGATTGCCTCGAGTGTCCTAAGCGAGAAAGATCCTCCCAGTTGTGGGACACAAGGGGGGAATGTTGTGCTTGGCGATTGTTGGGCGCCGTGCCGTGGTTTTGCAGAGTCCAGCACAGGTGTTTGGACAGCTCCTCCGAGTTGTGGGAAGACGAATTGCCATCTCAGCCGTCTTCCCTGACAGCATGCACTGAAACCTGAAAAACTTGTCGTTACAGCTGAGTTGGCGATTCGACGTCTGTGCGTGCTTTTGCCGAGTAATGTGGGTGTGAAGACTTGGTGAAGAAGTTTGGTGCGGCGGTAAGCCAAAGGTAATGTTCACTCTATGTTTTGGTCCAACCTTGACTCACGCCAACGGACACTGTGCCGTACAGAGTGAGCGAAAGTCCACGGACTGTGCTCAAGAAAACCGGAGTCTGAAGTGGTTGGAACCGGAGAGAAACTAGAGTAAAAAGAAGAGTTCAAACTTTGAAGATGTCACCAGCCTACAACGGAGAAGTCCATTTCTGTTTCTGTTCTGCAGAGTTGGGCCTGGATGGAATGTCCCCAGAGCTGGTTTATGGTAATAGTGGTATGTCGTTGTTTCTGCAGATTTGTTCGACAGAAAGTAGCGTGTCGTCGTTTGTTCAGATTCATAGGAGCCAGTAGGGGAACTGGAGAGTTGGAAATAGCAATGGAACCATGTTCAGCTCCGTAATAGTTGGGAAATACAAGAGAACCGTGCCGGGAGAAATTGCACAGTTTGTCGAGCCGGGATGTCCTTCACATCAATGAATTGCAAATGTGCGAGAATGGGGAACAGTGTTGTTTTACGTGGCTGGTTGAATCATTTGTTTTTTCTTTTTTTTATATATATAATTGGACCATTTCTCGATTTATGCGTGTCACCCGTGGACAGGGGCCATGCTAATCTTCTCTGTATCGTGCCAATTTTAACAGATGTCCCCAAGGACCACACGTAATAATTTCTGACTGCGAATGATGAGACCATTTGAAGGGCATGGATGTATTGAGATCATTACGGTCATGGGAATAGCACGCCCGGTCAGTATGGCTGAACTCAGGCCAACCATCTGTCTGGGGAACCAGACACTGTGATAATCAACGGGCGTGTGATTAGGATGAAGACGATTGCTGTCACGTTCATTTAGTCTGTGTTCTTTTCAGAAGATCGGAGCGAAGCAATTCCATGCTGCTGTCTGGTTGGTCTCCAAGAACACGCAATTTGATGAACAGAATCACAATATTTCCTTTAGTTGTCTAATAAAAAAGTGGAGCCCTGCTAACCAAGTGGATTCAGTCCCCTCTAACCAAGTGGATGGCCCCACACTCGTCCCGCGGCTCCAGCAGAGTCATCTGGCTGCAGACTTCTCCGACAGCTGGTGGCCCTTCCGCTGTTTTTGTGGCATGCGGTTGTGTTCGAACAGTGGAAAGTCAGGTGTCCGAACAGTGGGTTTCATGGATGCAGTGGTGTTCGAACAGTGGGTTTCATGGATGCAGTGGTGTTCGAACTGTGGTTTAACAGTTAAATCAACAAAGAACCGTGCAGGTTAAAATGGAGAGGAGAGGTCCTTTCCAAGGAAGCGCGCAGGTAGGCCATGAATGAAGTGAGGTCTTTTCAAAATGTATGCCGGTCCTTTCAAAATGGGTTCGTACAGTGGGTTTCTTAGAATTATGTAAACCAGTCCTTTCAAAATGGATGCCAAACAATGCACAGGACTATGGTCAAAGGTTGGGGGTTAGCTTTCAGGATCAACTTTGGCTGGGTCAAATGGCGCACAGAACCACGGTTAGAGGTCCAGGGTTAGCTTTCAGTATCTTGCCTTCTGGCGGGGTCGAACGGCACGCTGAACCACGGTTGGAGGTCCAGGGTAACAATGCACAGGACCACGGTCAAAAGGTCCAGGGTTAGCTTCCAGGATCACCTTTTGCCCGGGTCAAATGGCGCACTGAACCTTTTTCAATATCGCCTTTTGGCGGGGTTCAATATCGCCTTTTGGTTGGGTTCAATATCGCCTTTTGGTGGGGTGAAGATGTCCAGGGTTAGCTTTTTCAATATGGCCTTTTGGCGGGGTTCAACGGGGCACAGAACCACAGTTAGAGGTCCAGGGTTACTTTTCGGTATCGCCTTTTGGTGGGGGATCAACAGTTTGGATTTAAGTTTCAGTGCAGTATTTGAGGATGGGTGATCTTTTTATTCTAGTTGGCAGCGTGGTCAGAATGGGACTATAAAAATCTTACAGCATATTCACATTGGTACTGAGCTAAGAACTGGGCTGCACAGGTCACCTTCGTTGCCCGGGCGGTCCAACCGGGCAAGGCACAGGAAACGAAAGGCAAGAAGTCTGAAAGAAAATCATGCTATGCAGTGAAATATCTTAAACAGACTTTCCTGTACTGCCTTGGGCACTTGGCCCGCAATACATTAAAAAGAAGAGAAAATCTCTACCAAATAAAAAATGAATTAAAAAATTGAAAATAGCTAGGCTACCAGAGTGGCCCGGGTCCACTAGTGCGGCCGGGCAAAAAGGAAACAAAAAAATAAAAAAATAAAAATTATATTTTTATTTAAATTTTTATTTTAAATTTGGTTAAGAATGTCGATGTGACTCTGAGGCAAAAGTGGTTCAGTTTATTTTTCTGCATAACATAGCTTTTTTTTGGAGGTTTTTTTTTTTTTTTTTTTTTTTTTTGGCCTGGACCTTTCCTGGTCGTTGCACGGCCGAGCCGCCCGGAAAATAGGGCGACCCGGGCGGCCCTGGCTGGTAGCCTAGGTAAATAGGAAATATCATTCTTATATTGTCTTACTTTTTATTTTTTGGGCCCGGCCGGGCAAGTGGTCCGAGGACCGAGGCTGCTCTGGTAGCTTAGCACTGGTGATTTTTCAGCTGTATTTGGGGGGGAAGTTCTGTATTTAGGATAGATTGCAGAAAGTCCGTAGTGAGTTTGCTGTTGTTCTTGCAACTGGCGGATGAAGGACGTAAACAATCATGCCTCTAGGTTTTGTGTTGGGTCTACTATCTTTGTACGAGCAAGGTCAGGTAGGTCTGTCATTGGCCCTCAATCCACCACACATCTGGTGCGCCGGATACATTCAAAATGCTGGATTCCTACGAGTGCGGCTGGTCCAGAAAGGCGTCCAGAATCCAGATGCATGTAGAATGGTGAGTGGTGGGGGATCTGCTGAGTCCTGATGACGGGAAGTAGAGGGGTTAGCTTGGAGAGACAGAGAGAGAGAGAGAGAGAGATTTAGAGAGTCTTTTTTTTTGGGGGGGGGGGGATTTTCTGAATACCCCCATTAGTTGAGATATATGTCAAAATGTCCCTAAAAGATATGGGCACAGTGGAATGGCCTTTTGGACTGACATGTTTGTGTTATGCCCATGTCAGGTGGGTGTGCAAGTTCGCTTCGCTTCGCCTTTTGCGATTGCACATACGAAAACTTGGCAATTGCTGGGGCATTTTGCAAAGTTGGGCAGCGTTCGGTAGGGGTACGTTGCAAAGAACTCATGGCTGGGCAGTTTTGCAAAATGTTTTTGTCATCCTCCTCCGTCGCAGCGGAGTTGCGGCAGGTCCACTCGCAACTCCACTTGTTTATCTTTGTTTATCTTTTAGATTGTAAATACGAGATATGCGAATCATGACATGTAATAGATGTACATGATTGCTATCATAACACTCAAACATGAGAGAGCTTACTATTTGGCGGTGATGCGGAAGCCCTGCCGAGTTATGCTGATATTTTACACGATGGATGCCTATAGACATCCGACCCTTTGTGGGTCTTGGTGGGTATGCGAATCATGACATGTAATAGATGTACATGATTGCTATCATAACACTGAAACATGAGAGAGCTTACTATTTGGCGGTGATGCGGAAGCCCTGCCGAGTTATGCTGATATTTTACATGATGGATGCCTATAGACATCCGACCCTTTGTGGGTCTTGGTGGGTATGCGAATCATGACATGTAATAGATGTACATGATTGCTATCATAACACTGAAACATGAGAGATTACTATTTGGCGGTGATGCGGAAGCCCTGACGAGTTATGCTGATATTTTACATGATGGATGCCTATAGACATCCGACCCTTTGTGGGTCTTGGTGGGTCTCAGGGCCGCATGCAACACTCAAGTATCGATCGAGGAATGTTTTGAGGCTCTTACCTTAGGGTCATACAATGGCTGAAAAAACAGTTGTTTGGCTTTTGCTACGACTCTACCCATTTTCAATAATATTAGCTCACACTCGTTAAGGATACGCATAGTTCCTTTTCACCTTGTGGAAAATGTAACTTGTATTTATCTTAAGAAGTAAACGCGCAGCGGCTATGCCACGGCAGGGGGAACGTACATAATTTAAGAAGTGAATTTTCCATCAGAATGAGATTGGACACAGAACTGTATGAAGTTTTGACACTCTCTCTCTCTCTGTCTCTCTCTCTCTCTCTCTCTCTCTCTCTCTCTCTCTCAGATCAAAAGATTTAAGGTTGTGACTTTGCCCATGACACATCTTTGCTTCCCGCGGCACATCTTTGCCCTCCTACGCCATATGCCAATTCCCTCTGGATCAGCTATGCCACTCCTCTCGATCGTGCCGCTAGCTGGCCACGTTCTCTCGTTTCCTCTTGGATCCTTCCTTCCCACCCTTTGATCTCCCGTGCAGTCTTCTTGCCCCTTTGTGTCCTCGCTCATTTCTACGTTATCCAACTTATCCCATTGTTCTTCGCTCTCCTTCATGTCTCTCTCTTTTCCCCATGCAGTCTCCTTTCCCCTTGGTGTCCCTCCCCCTCCGACCTTATGCCACTCGCTTCTCGATGGTGGTGTCCCTCCCCCTCCGACCTTATGCCACTTGCTTCTCGATGGTGGTGTCCCTCCCCCTCCAACCTTATGCCACTCGCTTCTCGATGGTGATCCTGGCTGCCGTGCAGGGTGCCCACCTCTCGCAGTGCTTGCTATGCTGCTCTCTTCTTGATCATGATGCTAGGTGACCTGCCACGTCCCCGCCTCTGCTAGCACTTGCTCATACCTACGTTATCCCGCTCTTCTTCGCTCTCCTTCATGTCTTCTCTCTTTTTCGCATGCAGTCTCCTTTCCCCTTGGTGTCCGTCCCCCTCCTACCTCATACCGCTCTCTTCTCGATGGTGATCCTGGCCGCCCTGCAGGGTGCCCACCTCTCGCAGTGCTTGCTATGCCGCTCTTTTATGGGGCACGATGCTAGGTGACTCGCCTCTCTCCTCTTGATGGCAGTGCCTTGCCAGCTGGCTATGCTATGCCCTTCTCCTCTTGATCATTCTCTCTCTCTCTCTCTCACACACACACACACACACACACACACACACGCATGTCATCAATAGGATTAGCAAAATCGAAATGCATCTTCCGCTAAAACGTTGAAATATACACCTTCATTTTTTGAGCGAAAGAGAGAGAGACCAGATAAGCCTCCCACCTCGCGGCTGTATTCATGCTACTTCCATCGATAGGATGAGCAAAATTGAATGAATCTTTCGCTAGAACATGGAAATATACACTACTTGGTTGAACATGGTTGGCACCTGCAATCGACGGCGCGGCGCGAAACAAACCCACAGCGAAGAAAGTCCTCATTCATGAAGTCGTGCCAACACCAACTCCCCCAGAGAAACGGCCGTAAACAAAAGAAACTGTGCCTCGCCCACACTGACCCAAAAAGAAAAATGGCCCTAAGCAAAAAAAAGTGTCCGGCCCACGGTGCATTGAGCCGACTTAGGAAAAAGGTTTCAGTGGGTAGTGTCACGCA